TACTGTAGGAGTATTTTATTATCTGAAACAGAAACTAGGAGGAGTGTTATCTTAAATTAATTAACCACCGTTTATTTTGTGATTTATGAAGCTTAAAGAATAGAACATTTTTCAATAAAACCATAGCTTTTGAGAAAAATAAATATTTTTGTTTATTTTAAAAATTAGTTATTTTCATTATATTTAATAAGAAATAATATATACACTCACCGGCCACTTTATTAGGTACCCCATGCTAGTAACGGGTTGGACCCCCTTTTGCCTTCAGAACTGCCTCAATTCTTCGTGGCATAGATTCAACAAGGTGCTGGAAGCATTCCTCAGGGAGTTTGGTCCATATTGACATGATGGCATCACACAGTTGCCGCAGATTTGTCGGCTACACATCCATGATGCGAATCTCTCGTTCCACCACATCCCAAAGATGCTCTATTGGGTTGAGATCTGGTGACTGTGGAGGCCATTTTAGTACAGTGAACTCATTGTCATGTTCAAGAAACCAATTTGAAATGATTAGAGCTTTGTGACATGGTGGAAGTAGCCATCAGAGGATGGGTACATGGTGGCCATAAAGGGATGGACATGGTCAGAAACAATGCTCAGGTAGGCCGTGGCATTTAAACGATGCCCAATTGGCACTAAGGGGCCTAAAGTGTGCCAGGAAAACATCCCCCACACCATTACACCACCACCACCAGCCTGCACAGTGGTAACAAGGCATGATGGTTCCATGTTCTCATTCTGTTTACGCCAAATTCTGACTCTAACATCTGAATGTCTCAACAGAAATCGAGACTCATCAGACCAGGCAACATTTTTCCAGTCTTCAACTGTTCAATTTTGGTGAGCTCTTGCAAATTGTAGCCTCTTTTTCCTATTTGTAGTGGAGATGAGTGGTACCCGGTGGAGTCTTCTGCTGTTGTAGCCCATCCGCCTCAAGGTTGTGCGTGTTGTGGCTTCACAAATGCTTTGCTGCATACCTCGGTTGTAACGAGTGGTTATTTCAGTCACTGTTGCCCTTCTATCAGCTCGAACCAGTCTGGCCATTCTCCTCTGACCTCTGGCATCAACAAGGCATTTCCGCCCACAGAACTGCCGCTCACTGGATGTTTTTTCTTTTTCGGACCATTCTCTGTAAACCCTAGAGATGGTTGTGCGTGAAAATCCCAGTAGATTAGCAGTTTCTGAAATACTCAGACCAGCCCTTCTGGCACCAACAATCATGCCACGTTCAAAGTCACTCAAATCAACTTTCTTCCCCATACTGATGCTCGGTTTGAACTGCAGGAGATTGTCTTGACCATGTCTACATGCCTAAATGCACTGAGTTGCCGCCATGTGATTGGCTGCTTAGAAATTAAGTGTTAACAAGCAGTTAGACAGGTGTACCTAATAAAGTGGCCGGTGAGTGTATATGTATATGTATATATATATATATATATATATATATATATATATATATATATATATTAGCATTTTAATGTAGTGTTAGCTTGTTTCAAAATATTAATAATTTATTAATTGAATTACCTTTTAGTCATTGAAGTTTGCTGAGGCCCACTAGTGGACCCTGGCCCCCTCGTTGAGCTTTAAAGGGTTAATTCACCCCAAAATGAAACTTCACAAGTTAAAGACTGATGTTTGCAATCCTTCTAATTTTTTTCAGCGCCTCTCAGTGTGTTGCTTTTTTAAAACACTGCATCAAGTTTAAAATGCTTTACCATTGGGAGGGGAGGGAGGGGGGAAGTATTTCTGTGTTCTTTTTCATTCACACTATTCCTTATGATGCATGCATTGAATTCTGGGAAATGCCTTGGAACTAGTTGACCTTGTGGTCTGTTATGAAAAATGCACTGGGTTCAGCTAACCCCAGAATGGAAAGCGGCATCATTATTATTCTTTGTCTGAATTTTACGTCTGTATTTAATAATTTGTTAGATGTCAATGTAGAAAAATGGGACGGGTTATGAATTTTTAACAATTAATTTTGAAGGTGTGTGCCGCATGTATTGAGTATGCAGACGCACAACACGACAAAAGCATAAAGCAATAACTCAGAATTATGATTCAATCTCCGCAGGGCCTTTTTTCTTTCAGGGTCTAATAAATGTGTCTTCATTTCAGAATAATTTCCTCTATCTGTGGGGGTTTAACAGTATTGGAAGCGGGTGTGTTCGCATGTGACACTCGGTCTAAGAGTCAATTATTCTTTAACTGTGCGACCTCTCAGACCCCAAAGGGAGGGTTGCCACAGCGACCTCGCTCAAGGGCTCAGGGGTGAACATTTTAATGGTGTTCCTAGTCAAAGACTTCATACTCGGTTAATTACTAATTATACAAATCTGCATTACAGTATTATCCTGGCCTATCATGCAGCTAAATCTGTCATGCAGGAAAAGTGAGTAGCAGTGCAGGCCGTTTGGCATATTCACAAAAGTGAATGAAACCGAATGTGGCGGCCTCAGCGGTTCGTCGTGGAGCGCAGAGGGAGTGTGAGGTCAGAAATCTGGGTAATTGCTACTAAAAGAAACAAAAAGCAATTAATAAAACAATCAGTGTTTAAGATAGCTTTTCCTCTGACTATTTCAGGACTACGCCCATTTCCCTTAATTGTATTTTACGTTTTAATGCGAACGATAATTACATTCTCTAAGAAAAATCACCCCTTAAAAAAATCACCATGATATTAGTGGTCTAATATCATAACTGTTTCCGCTCCTATTGAATTGGTTACGCAATTTGAATTAAATGCAGTGCGAGTGGAGCAATTAATTGAAAGTGTTCTTTTCAATGCATGTATTTGAGTCTGGATTACAGAGATTTGTGCATTGTATCTCATATTTTTGACCCGTTGCAAAAGTGTTGAGAGCCATCAGTGAGGATTAAAGTCTAGACGTCGTGTCAGAGGAGAGCAAGATCGTCTGAGAGGTCCATTTTGATGTTTACGCCCTGAGTAACACTGGAGGGTGGTTTAAATCTAACAGTAATTGCATGTGCTCCTAATGTCTGCCAAGATAGTGAGACACAAGCTCTCTCTGCTGCCCTATTTCTCTCCTCCTAGAGACTCTCTGCCAAGTGGTGATGGATGGGATGTACATTGATTTGTGACAGACAGGTTGGAACAAGAACTCAACTGACCAGCAGGATTTGAGATGATGCATTTTTGTCACAAAGCTGGAGCATCTGACCACACCGTGGCTAATTGCAGAATCTGGTTATTGGAGTTGTTTTGCTGCTTATTATGGTCCATTGACATGAAATGCTTAATGCAGTGCAGTGTGAGTTTCAGAACCCGGAGAGCTGTCTACCTTGACACCATAATAGGGGAGTTCAAATGTTCCATTTAAGTCTTTGCACACATGATGTGCAACGATGTTTAAATATTCCACTGATGCCAACAAAATCAATTTAAGCATTGAAATGGAGTCCAGAAATCAGGTTGAACATTTGAAGGCAGCTATATTTTGCAAAAAAATCTTTTCAAACATTCAAACGAGGCCAAAACAGTTCTTTGAAAGAATATATTAAATTGTGCAGAAATATTGTTCGGAGCCTTTTTTTTATTTACCTATGGAGCACAAAAATAGATTGAATCATTTGAAATGCAGAAATCGATTCAAGCATTAAAAAATTCCTTTGAACATTTCTATGATGCCCAAAAAGGGTGTTTGGATCTAATGTCTATTTAAAATCATTTTAAATCATGTTCATACGATGCCCAGAAATCAATTTGAACTTTCAAACACAACTGCTGTATGATGCTCAACAGTCGATTCAAACATTTCAAATCAAATTGTAAGTTCAATGCAACTATGGTGCACAGAAAAATATTTAAAAATGCCCATGCAATTCCATTTTTTTTTTTTCAATTCAATTTTGTTACTTCTATTTGAACATAATGATATGCCTCAAAATGCCCTAGGTTTTGAAACATAGGTCTAGGTTCTAATGGAGAAAGCAAAACAAGAAAAGGGGAGAGGGGAAGAGGAAAGGAAGAATAGGTTAGATGGAGAGATTATGGGAGAAATTAAGAGGAAGGGGGATGTGGACATCTTCAAGGTCATGCTTTCGTGTTGAGATGAGCGATAGCCATGGAGGAAAATATCAAAGGCTTATAGGGGGTGAGGAGATGGTCCAGAGATAATGAAAAGAAAAATGATCTTTGTCTAACCCCATCCCTCCATCCTCAAAGAGAGCTTTATTATGCATTACACATGTTGTGTTGTTGGTGTTGGTTAACTCTGATAATGTTCATTTGTAATTGTCAGCTGAAAATTAGTCATTTTGTTGGATGACTTCACACCAGTTGTATAGACATTATTCATCCGACTGTGGTTGACCAATTATCACTTCATTCCCTTTTTTTTTTCTTGTCCTCTTTTACATTTTATTTTCAGAGAAGACCTCTGAGCTTTGGATAATCCTAGCCACTCATGTCTGAATGAAAACGCACATATTGAGTAACCAGGAAAAATATCTCTCACTAGAAGCTCACATAAATATTAATACCTGTTTATTTATTAATTCACCCCAAGAAAGCACAGTAGAGTTTTGGATTTTCTATTTTGAGGTGGTTTCGCATGTCATACACTTCCTGCAATTATTAAAACAATGATCGTGACATTGCTCAACCATCTGTCTATTCCATGAATTAACCAAGCAACGAAAAATGTTTGTTTGCAAAAAACTTAATTTGTTTCCCCTCAATGCAAATGGTTGGCAGCTCTTCAAAACCTCCAAAACCTTTGGAAACAGTTTGCCACGTCTGTGAAAAGTTTGACAGCTGTGATAGATTTCACATTGTTGCCAAAGTTCTGACCCACCACTGCCAGTGAAGTGCTGCTAATTTCTGCCAGCCAATTTGCCATATATTAACCACAAGTTTGACGCAAGTAAACTTTTAACAGGGGTCTGAAGGACTGTCTCTGTCGATGGCAATGGATATGTTTAGAGCTGATATGATGAGCTGAATGTGTTTGCTTTGTCTGGTTTGGTCCCAGGGCTGCCGGTGATGCAGGTGAAGATTGACATCTCCAGACAGCAGGTGGAGAAGATCTTTGGTCTGGAGGATTACTGGTGTCAGTGTGTGGCCTGGAGCACTACAGGAACCCAAAAGAGCCAAAAGGCATTTGTACGCATCGCATGTGAGTTCAGCTCTGCTATCTTATAGTGCAAACATTTCGACCAAATTCTACCTTATAATCTGATCATGGGATAAATGTCTAGCTCAGTGGTTCTCAACTGGTGGGTCGCTCCCAAAAATGAGTCACAAGTCTGTACCGGTTTTGATCTGGACAGAAGGGGAAAAAAACGAATGCAAAACCCAATTCCAAATAATAAATTGCAGCTAACAATGCTGCGGAATGGTCCAGTTTAGCTACAGTACCTAAATAAATGTATTATAGATTAATTTTAATAATTATAGATTAGATATGTAAATATTTTTAATAATTTTTAATAATTTTTAAGTCTCTTAAGCTCACCAAGGCTGCATTTTTAAATACAAATTACTGTTAAAATAGTAATATAGTGAAATATTGTTAAAATCGTTATATTTTAATATATTTTAAAATGTAATTTATTCCTGTGATGGCAACGCTGAATTTTCAGCATCATTATTCCAGTCTTCAGTGTCACATGATCTTTTAGAAATCATTCTAATTGATTTGGTGCTCAAGAAACATTTCTTATCAATGTTAAAAAACATTGTTATGCTTCATATTTGGAATTATTTGATGAATAGAAAGTTCAAAAGAACATTTATTTGAAATTGAAATCTTTTATAACATTATAAATGTCTTTACTGCCACTTTTGATTAATCAGTTTAATGCATCATTGCTGAATAAAAGTATACATTTTTTCTGCCCAAAATACTGACCCAAGTGGTTATCGGCTAGAAAAGAAAACACTTCCCATATATTTTGTAATTATTGTTGACGACATCAAAGGTCGTGCATCCAATCAGACTTCACAATTCAAGAAACCAAACTTCATTTAAAATGGGTTCACCTTAAACAAGGTTTTAAATGACCACAATGGGTTTTGTGCAATTCATTATTGGCTTAATATAAAATCCCAATACTGAATTTCAATATTTATACATGCTTTTATGCATTTGTAAAATGTTATGTTATAGCAAAATTGTTCCTACCGGGTTGTGTCATCATTTGATCCCCAGTGTAAAATCTAGATCCCAAAGCAAAACCAATTGAGAACCACAGATCTAGCAGACTGTGTTTAGGCAGTTTATTAGTTAATATATTTAAAAGCACACAAGCTTCATTAACAGGTGTTTCCTGCCATAGATGTTAACATCGTTTATTTGAATACTTCAATACACCTTTCAAATACTGTGTAAACAGTGTGTTCTGGTAAACAAAATTCATTTATCCCTAATGTTTTAAAGTGCTCTACAACACAGTAGCTGCTCCACGATAAAGTGTTTTGATAGTGATGTACTTTCTATTAAAAGTTATTTCAGAATTCCATTTAGCCAATCAATCTTACCACTTATGCTCCGTTTTCTCCCCAAGGCTGATTGATTTAGTTGGTTTTATATGACTTATTTAATGTTTGATTGGGAAGTTTGATCAGGAAGAGCCCGTGGCAAGGAAATCTGCTAATCTGCAGTGTAACACTTTGTAATTGCCTCAAGAGGCCTGGTGGTTTTGATATCTCTGTGTGATTAAACACACGGAAACCGCACCACCGCACCGCCTCACTCAGAACAAACATCACAAAACATCCTTCCTTTAAAGGAAGATGATAGAGTCATTTTTTGTCTCTCTAAAACAAGGATTAAACGCATTGTGCGATTAAAATGGATTTGGATTTATCTCAGAGTGGTGCTTATAAATATTCTGAATGGATATTTTATCTTGCCAAACGTATTCACCTCAAATTCTACTTTTGCATAATGAAAGGACTTTTAAAGGAATTTTCTCACCCAAGAACGCATACAGTGACCAGGAGCTCTGAAAAGGGCCTATAAGAGTGGTTCGTTTGGTTTGTGAGCTACATAACTTTCTGTCCCTGCGCACAAAGTACCATATGACTTCTTAGCAATAACGCATGATTCAAATGAACCACTTTTATGTTATTTGTATGGTGTTTCTGTTGTTTTTGAAGCTTGAAAGCCTCAGCTCCCATTCATTGTAATTACGCTAGGGTGAACTATTCCTTTAACAAACTTGAGTTTTCCCTTCAAAGTCACGACAATGTCATCTCAGGGCTCGATGGCCATCTAATCCTTTGTGCCTCTCCTATTCCCATTAAATCCTATTTAATTAAATTGAATGTCAAAGACCCCTCTTCACCTCTTAATGTTTGCCAAGGCCTGATTGGTGAAGACAGGCATGACATCTGTTTTGAGGAAATGAAATGACTGGCAGTGTCGCTGTTATTGAGAGAGATTTTATTCCCCAGCATCGGAGCTGAAGACAAGTCCGCTGTCTCAATGGACACCTCCTTCCAAAAGCTTTTCGTGTCAGCTATAAACGTTTATGCAAATGTTGTTTTGAAATTTTGCCATCCATAGTCAGGAGGGCATGAAAGCCCTCCATCAAGAGTAATGCAATTTTGACAAGCAAATACAATTCGACTTGCATCAACACTTGTCCCAGGGGTTTTAGGTAAAGTGGGTGGTCGTGTGGATACCACAGCCTCGGTGCGGCATCGAGTAGAGGAGGATGATAATGCAATTCCTTTTTGTTGATGCTTTGCCTTAGGGCTGCAGACAGCCTTTCTCTGAAGCAACCAAGCAGGGTCTAATAAGCACTCGGGTCTGTGATATGGATCCTTCTAAGAGAGAAAGGCCGCTCAAGGCTCCTGTTGAACGTCGTACACGGTGCAAATATATATACGGAGGAGCGCTGAACCCCAAAAACACTTTGCTAAATATGACACGGATAATGTTAGATTAAATGGCTTGGCAGTTTACCTTCCTGGTGATACATGTACAAGTTCTGATCCACTTTATGACTAAGGGAGGATTTTAGTCAATATCCTGGCTTGAGAGCCCATAGGAAAGGAAAAAAGCAAACATGCAATCCATTTAAGAGTACATTTACAAGACAACGATGTACTAAAGACGGGAAAAGTTTTTCCTTCGTGTTTTTCGCGTACAGATGACAACATTGTCAAGAGTTCACACGGATCTGCGAAAACAACTAAAAACACTCAGTACACTCACCAGACTCACTCTTTTCCAATATATTAACCCAATTTAGTTACACTAATTAATGTTACACTAATTTTTAAAAAATGTTCAATATTAAATATGCAGTACTGTGCACAAGAGCTGTCTAGTTTTGCACATTGCACAGAATAGATACAGTATAATATATATTGTTATGTATAGCCTCAATGACTAATAAATAAAATGATTTTGCACTACAGATCTGAGGAAGAACTTTGAGGAGGAACCGCTGGGTAAGGAAGTGGCACTTGATCAGGAAATCCTTCTGCGCTGTCATCCTCCTGAAGGTGTTCCTCCTGCAGAGGTGAGAGCAACAAGTAAACATGCTAATAACCAACGGCTCTGCTAATGATCCCCCTCATTAATGTACTGGTACAAATATAACATCGAGCCAGAGATCTGATGTCTTTCACCATATTCCGTCTGTTCGATGAGCTGCACTTGGATGAGGAACCATTCAGAGTGATTTGGCAGCTCTGGGAGTCCCATCAATAATACATGTATTTTTGCACTGGTGCAGGACTAGACCAGCCTGCGACCAGCTGTTGCAACTCAAAATGTCCATCCAAACTTCCAAACTTAACAACAAAAATGCCGGATATATTTGAGTACACTCGTTCTGTCTAGGGGTGGGACAAAATATCCATTGGGCAATATATCGTTGTCCTTCTCCATGCGATATGAGAATCGATATGCTGGCGCCAAATATCGATATTTCAATTAATAAAATAAGGCTCTCTAAATAGATTTTCCTGCTCCCAGAGTCGCTACTTCATGGCTCCTCAAGGTGGCGCTGAACAAATGAATGAGGGAAATGTGAACATAAGTTAACTAACCTAAGAAAAAAGAGGTTTTTAAACGAGAAAATAATAAATGCCCCAGCCTCATTTAAGTCCAAAGTCTGGAAAACCTGCACTTAACATTTTCACAGGCATTTTGTTTTCATAGTTAGACAGATATTGTGATGTATCATTATAGGATTGTCTATCGATTATCGCAGAATTGCTGTATCATGATATTATCTGTATCGTGTATTGTATCGTGAGGTACCCTGTGATTCCCACCCTTAATTCTTTTTTTTACAGTACATTGCGTGTTCGATAAAATATTACCGTCAATGATTTTGACTTATTCACCAGTTTATTATAATCATAATCATTAATCATAGTTACAGTAACAAAATATGATTATGTATATTTTTTGGTGACAATAAACATACCACAACACCAAAATTGAATCTCAATTTTTTTCTTTTGTTAACTATGTATTATCATACTCGCAATTTCTACTTTAAGTTAAATTTCTGATAAAGTGAGCAAGAAGTGTTCTATATTTTTTTTTTTTTTTTTTGTGTACAATAGAAAAACAATTGTAAAAAAAAACCGCTAATCCGCTTTCCTACTGCCCCATGCTGCCATGCAGTGTCTGCCAAACTTGAACATCCTCGGCCCTGGCTGTGGCCTTGGGATCAGCCCAGAATGGTAGCTGGATCCGAGAGCACACAGAGCGTTTTCCATCCATTTGAGCCAGATTGAAGCTGTGAAATGTTTTCTCTTGTGTATATCTATAGGTGGAGTGGCAGAGAAACGAGGAGCTGATCGACCCCAAGACTGACCCCAATTTCTTCATCACCGTGGACCATAATCTCATCATCAAACAAGCCCGTCTGGCCGACACAGGCAACTACACCTGCGTGGCCAAGAACATTGTGGCTCGACGCAAGAGCTCCTCGGCTACTGTGATAGTCTATGGTGTGTTTCTTCTCATACTTTGTTCCTTTCTTAGATCACAGATAAATGCACTTCACCTTTCAAGAGTCTGACAAAAGTTTGGGATGGTTCTGACCCTGAGTCAGGGGTAATTTACTGAGAGAGTCAGGCTAGCTTTGATGGACAACTCTATTTTGATCAGACTTTGAGAACAAAATGTACTAACTCACTACTTTGCTTTGCCTATTGAAAATGTATCAGTGTTTTACTATAATAACACTATAGCTGTAGTCTCCATTCATGATATTACCCGTAGCTCTATGGTCCAATTAATTTTTAACATTATACGTTTTTATCAGGGTTCCCACCGTCCTAGAAAAATCAGGGAAAAAGTCATGGAAATTAAATAAATCTTAAGTGGGAATTTTGTTGTATTTATCGTATATTAAGAGCAACATTGAGTTTATTTATGTTTTGTGAATAATTTTCTTGACATATGGATATGTATATCTGGAAAATTATTGGGGGAAAAAATGTTTTGATAATTTTTTTGAAATTCTTCAGTCATACAAAAAAAGTGTGCTAACACTTTACAATAAGGTTACATTAGTTGACTACTTCAGTTAACATGAACTAAGACTGAACAATACTTCTGCAGCATTTATTAATCTTAGTTAATCTCAACATTTACTAATGCGTTATTAAAATCAAAAGTTGTATTTGTTAACATTAGTTAATTCACTGTGAACTAACATGAACAAACAATGAACAACTGTATTTGTATTAACTAGCATTACCAAAGATTAATAAATACCGTAACAAATATATTGCTCGTTGTTAGTTCATGGTAGTTAACACTTTAACTAATGTTAACAAATGAGACCTTATTGTAAAGTGTTACTGAACGTGCTCAAAAGTTGGTCAGAAATTGTGAGAACCCCGTCATCTGAGTGATTTTATTTAAAATAAATGCTCCCTGCTTGGATATTTTGTTAATGTAATTTAAAAATAAATATATTTACATTATGTAATGTACATTTACATACAGTGTTTTAAATACTAAAGGCCACTGTATTTCTTGTAGCCACCTTAAACCTTACAAGCATTACAATTTGGAATATTCTGATTTTACTTCGAATTAGCTTTAGCTTAGCTCCTCTAAAACTGATCATGCTGTAAATGATTGCAGCAACATAACAACATATCAGTTTGGGAGCAAAGCAGCCAGACAGTGTCTCCGAAATCTCCGCAGAGCTGACAAACACCCTCACTGTAGTTTAGCTTGTTGAATTAATGGCATAAAGTGGCTAATGAATAGGGTTTATAAGCTAGCTGACCTTTATTAAAATGCACAGCAGCAGAGCATCGCTAACCCCGGAGGGTTCCCAGGACAAGCAGCGTTCTAAAGGTAGCATGCATTACAACCCAGTACACGCTCTCTACTGATCCCAGCCTAGTCAATCACACACGACACATAGTACAGTACAGTACTGGGACAGATCTACTGAGAATACTCTTAAACCACAGACAGACATGTTAACAATGGAAAATCGAAAGTCTTTGCCTTATTTCAGAGGTAATGTATCAGTTTTATTATCAAGCATAAAGACGACGAGTCAAGGGACAGCTGCGTGATGATTTGCATTAAACCGGAATAAATGGGGACGTGATTTTTAATGCGGAGACAGACTGCAAGTCAATCAGAGCAATCAGTGTGTTGTATTTAATAGGGAAAAAGTGGAGCTAAATTGACAATTATTTCTCAGATGAATGGAGATTAGATAAGTTGTTGTTTTTTCTTTGAATTGCGTGATTTGGGGACATTTTGATGGAAGGCTCTGCAGAAGTGAAGTGAGCAGAGAATATTTTCGCTCTATTGTTTGCTTTTTATGCTGTCAATCAATGAAGCCCTCACACAGGGAAAAAGAGAAATGGCACATGAATGCTAGGTGCGCGGTGCCTTACAATTTGGCGGTTTCAAATTGTGCAATGTTCCCCAAGCAATTTGCTACCATTGTAGAAATTAATTAAAGAAAAATTCCCTGTGAATACCTTTTGATCAAAAGAACTATTAGGCAAGGTCCTTTATGCTATTCTTTTTTTCCCCATGGCTTCACATTAAAATGTCAGTTTACTAATTTGAAGTCTTGCAGGCTTGCTTATTGGCTGAACCATAGGTGGTGTGAGAGCTGTTATTAGTGCTTTTGGACAGAGGACGAGATGAATTTTAACAAGGCTGGACTTGACACAACGGTGTGCTAAGAGGTAATCAGGACCCGAGTTGCTGCGCAATTTCCTTCTTCGTGGTGAGCAATCAGAGAGGCTAAAGAATTGATTCGGTCTGACCAGAGCAACATTTCGTGGAGAATTAGGTGCAGCTCCAGGCACAATATAGACTCTGACCTGTGATCGAGGCTTCTGGACAACAAACCGCTCGAGTTACCGGGGGAAGAAGAAATCAGATTTGCTCTGAATTCTCCCACCAAGAGAGAGGAGGCTGGGAACTTGATTAAAAACCCTGCATGATCTTTGGACTCGGAATCATCCCGGAATCCTTGCAGGATTATGCATTTCACCAGCCTGGATATTGGTGCCATAAAAACCATACTGTGTGTCGGTGGAAAGCAGAAAACCAATATACACCCCTCATGAGATGAAATCTAGGCTGTTCCCTTAAAACATCCCACCCACCATGTATCCCATGTTTTGCTCCGTAGCTTTAAAATTGACAGCGGTTAATATATAGCTTGTAAGAGAGATTGAGTGATAGTTTTGTGACTTGACAATGTTTGGTTCTTTGGCTTCATCCAGATGTGGCCATCTTTTCAGACTTGCACACATTTTATTTTTATTTTTTTCAGAAGAAGTGTGAAATTTGGATGAGAGTATAAAATTTAAAGAAATACTTCAAAACAGGAGATGACATACTCTAACCCCATGACGTTTCAGGAATGCAGATGAAGTGCCTCTTCAGGCTTTCATTAAGCTCCAAAGCGTGCCGACAATGTGAGGGGGAAATGACCAAATGGTCAAAATTTGGTCATTTGGTGGCAAAAATGTCACTCCACGGTGACAGGCTGATTATTATATCACTTTTAATTTGATAATGCCCGCCGACCATGTGCAATGATGATGTATTTTTGTAAGTTAGCATCACCCTGGTTCCTTCGACAAAAACCCAATAGATTTTTTCCATTGGCTTTTGGATTACTGCAGAAAATAAGCTCTGTGGCAAAAAAAAAAAACAGGTTTATTCTTACACCTTTTGTCCATCATGTTAATCTTCACAAATGAACAGAACTTTGAATTTTGAAGCCTAAATACAATCGGCAGAAATAAAAATCTAAACACGGTCACATGACTTTAACGCCACCAGCATTAAGCTTTCAATAACTCTCTCCGTATTTTGTTTAAAAACATTTTTCCTGAAAGTTTGAGTTAGAATAGTTTTCAAGAGTGCGATTTATAAACGCAACGAGGCTGTGAAAGCATACTAGCGAGTAGATGAGTTTACCTGTTCGATGTGATGACATTTAATGTCCCTGATGTCCTCTGTAGTCCCATTGTTAGTAGGCGAACTGCCTTTTCAAGACAAGTGTAAACAGTAATAAGTGAAGTGAATCCTAAAATCCTAACTCGTTTCTGGGTTTTGCCAAAAATACGTCATCCCTGCAGCACTCTATTAGTCAGCAAATCAGCCTAAACGAGTCAAACTGCAAGTAGATGTGTTATTTATTGAAAAAATGACCCACCAACTTGGAAACGTTGAATGTTAAAACTACACTATGGTATTCTGGGCTCTCTAGTGCCATCTGTGGTTGAAATTACAATTGCTGTAGATTAACAATAAATCCATTTCTGCATCATGTCTGCTGCTTCAATTCAAATTCGGGAATTTAATTCAATCCTCTGTGGCGTACCTTCAATGTCAACAGTATTATAGAGTCAGTTGCTTGTTGATAGTGCTGTTCTATGAACACAGAAACTGTGTAAACATCAAATTACCACGAATTTAGATTGGACGGCAACCGCCACATAACTGCCTCAAATCAACAGTATATTGTAGCATTGACAACTGTTGACGTTAACATAGCTTTCGTTTGTTGCCGTTGTCCCTGTGGCCTGCCTTTTAAGCTCAGAGCTCATGTTTGTGGCTGTTTTTATCCTCGTGCTTGTCGGGTAATCCTGACTCGCTGTGTTCGTTTCCCCCTCTCCTTTGCACTGGGCGCACGAGCAGTGAACGGTGGCTGGTCCACGTGGGCCACATGGTCGGCCTGCAGTGCTGTCTGTGGTCGGGGGTGGCAGAAGAGGAGCCGGAGTTGCACCAACCCCACTCCCCTGAACGGCGGGACGTCCTGCGAGGGCCAGAGCGTCCAGAAAAGTGCCTGCACTGCCACCTGTCCAGGTAACGTCCACCGGGCGTCGCTCACTGCAGAGTAGAGCTAGTTTAGCATTAGTGCACAGACCCTTGCACGGTCCCCTTGCTCTAATGGCACCAATAGCTCCCTCTCTGTAGGACGGCTAGCTTGATTGGCATTTAGCTTTTTTGTGCTTAAGCAAAATATTGTCATGTTTTTTTGTTTGTTTGTTTGTTTTTGCTTTTGAAATCCATTGAATTATTCATAGCTGAAGCAGTGCTTGTGTCTCCATTCTGGCCATTATGTTTCTTTCAGATTTTGTCGTGCTCTGTGCTGCTTTCGCTTTTTGCTGCATGAGGTCTTTTTTTATTGTTCGGTTGTGAACAGGGTCCAAAATTAACTTGCCTGCCAGTGGTCAAAATATATTGTCCCTATAATGATATTTAGCTGTTTTTCCCCTTGTATTTACATTGTGATGTACATTTGGTAGTTGAATGTAAAGATTATTCAGCCTTTTAAATTCCAATTCAATTTGAATTAAGGCAGAAAACAGGATGCAGAATTTTAACTTGGTTTTTAATACATTTTAAAATGAAATGTATTCCAGACTTTTCAGGATCATTAATCCAGTCTCCAGTGTCACGTGATCCTTCAGAAATCATTCTAATATGTTGATTTGGATTCTTTGAGTAGAGAGTTTTCATAACAATGTAAATGTATTTACTGGCATCCTCGCTGAATAAAAGTATTAATTGCTTCCAAAAAAATCATACAATTTTAAAGAAAAAATGCTGAGGATTGTAACAGATAATTATATATTTAATAAATTGACTTTATAGATTTTTTTGTTTTTGTTTTAACAAATTACAAACAATTTGAACAAATTCAATTACAAACAAATTCAATAAGCTAATTTTAATTTGTGAGTGTTAATTTTAGACCCTGGTTTTAAGCTCGGAGAAACGAAAGAAAACTAAAAAGGCTCATCTTTTACACAGAGTGAGACTGTGATATTTACTCTTCTGCGCATCTCATAAAAACAAGGATTTGCGAATTATTTGATGCTAGTGAGCTACGTTAGTAGTGCTCAAGAAGTTTCCCTGACATCCACTAGTAGAACTTTAGAGGGTTGAGAGGGAACAGATTGAAAGGAAGAGGAAGCAGGGAAGAAGCACGGCTGCTTTTCCTCAGTGTTTATCGATCGCTTGCAGCTTGAAATGAAAGTCAGGCCGCTTCATTTACAGGCTGACATTAGACTCAGGTAGATGGGGGGGAAGGGATTCTCTTGATTACTGCGATAGGCCCGTGAGTGGATTTCAGCAGGGACAGAAATGGCATTATGCAGGCGCTGCAGACTAGCGGAAAATATCCACGCTTGGTAAACAGGAGAGGAAATCGAAGCTTTTGTCAGCTGCAGCTCGTCTCCCTCGCTCACCCCCTCTCTTCCTCCACTCCTCCTGTGAGAGGGTTTATCTACTTAAACCAATCTCCTGTTTCATTACAAAGCAACCAGTGAAATTTAATAAGACGCCACCTTTACGCTGCTCTGTAAGTAACGTGCTCTCAAAATATGGAGTTTTGATGAGCAGAAACACAAAGCATGAGGGAACGCTTCTGACGGAGCTCTGTAGGGATGGATTTCACATGATTACGACCCAAATAACATTTCTGTGGGGAAGACAAGAGACAGAGAAGGAAATAAAGCTATGAACACTGTTAAAGAGAAACACTGAAAGTAGAATTATTCTTTTTTATGGGAAAACAGTGATGAGAAGTATGTAGAGAGTATGACAGCTATTCGGAAAATGGATTCATCTGTCAATTATTTTTTTCATTATACAGATATTTCACATTTTCATTCAAACAATATATACACTACCGTTCAAAAGTTTGGGGTCAGTGAGAATTTTATTTTTATTTTTTGGAGGAAAGAAATCAATACTTAATTTGATCGAAAGTGACAGTAAAGACATTTATAATGTTACAAAAGATTCCATTTCAAACAAATGCTGTTCTTTTGAACTTCCTATTCATCAAAGAATCCTAAAAAACAAAACAAAAACTGTACAACTGACAGACCAACAACTGTTTTAACATTGATAATAATAATAAATGTTTCTTGAGCATCAAATCCTCATATTGTACTGATTTGTGAAGGATCATTTGACACTGAAGACACTGACACTGGTGATGCTGAAAATTCAGCTTTGATCACAGGAATAAATTACACTTTACTATATATTCACACAGAAAACAGCTGATTTACACTGGAATAATATTTAATACTATAACTGATTTTTGTTGTATTTTTAATCAAATAAGCGCAGCCATGGTTGGCAGAAGAGAATTCTTTTAAAAGTATTTAAAATCGTACCGACACCAAACTTTTGAACGGTAGTGTAAATGGAGGCTTACTGTATATACAGATAGTTCAGAACCTAAATTCTGATTGGATGAGCCACATTTGAAGCCATTTTAAAATTACATTGAATTAGTGCACCAAGTTCCTGTCGTTTGCAAATCACTATATTTGCGTGAAAATTGTTTATTACAATAAGTATCACTAATGAATGTAGCCTGTTATTGAAGCCTGGTTTGCTTCCCATAGGTGTATGTTATTATACATCAAATATGTTCGGATTGGCTCTGATTGTGTTCGGATGGGCTCTGATCAGTCTTTTGTGTTTGTGTGTCGCTGAGGAAGAAAAAATCAGGGAAGAATAAATACAAAAAATAGCAAGAAAGGAGGTTCACAGTGGTGGCTGTTGCAAGGTTTTTTTAATAAGGGTCATGCTGAGCGAGCGAGTTGGACGTTGTTCCTGTGGTGGCTTTATTCCCCTCGTGTTTCTCGCCCTCCGACCGATTAATCCTGACACGGGTCGCAGTGAGGGAGCCATGGTGTCCTAGCCAAGGATGACTTAGTTGTGTTCCCATTCCCAATCAAAAAACGGGCACTTGCCTGCTTTAGCATGCTCACCAGAGGACCCCAAATCCTGTCAGCGAGAGAAAAGAAGGAGAGAGAATGACCATCCCGTTCCATTTATCACCATACAAAGACACGCACGGACAACTGCAGGCCCTAAAAATTACATCTGAGACTTCATCCCGATTTATCAAAACGTGACTTCTGACTGCAGGAGGTATAAATCATCATTTACTGACTAGCTGCAGGTAGAGGCACAGTGTTCCCAGAGCACAGTCAGACAGCAGGAGACAGAAAGAGAAACAGCAGAGCTTTGATAAACGACTCTGTATGTGAACATAGTCCATCGCCGCTGTTCTACTGATCCTCAGGACAGGGCGACTTTAAAGGACGTGACGAGATTCTTTGTGTAATGCGGCGAGCATTCGATGCCATGTGAATGCTGATGAAGCTGAATTCTTTTTGTAATACAAATAGGTTGGAATAATATTTCCAAGGCACTCAAAATGCTATCCTCAGTCACAAGACGGCAGAACCAATCGAAATAAAATAATCAGATTTTTTGTCAACAGTGCTAAATTATTATTATTATTATATTTTAGTATTGTTATATTATATAATAGTACATTACAATAATATCATTACATTTAACTAGGTTTTTGAAATTAAATAATAATTATAATAATAATTTGTTACATTTGTGTAGCGCTTTTCTGCGTACTCAAAGCGTTTTACATAGAGGGGGGAATCTCCTCAACCACCACCAATGTGCAGCTCCACCTGGATGATGCGACAGCAGCCACATTGAGTCAGAACACCCCCATACACCAGCTTATTGGTGGAGAAGAGACAGAGTTATGAAGCCAATCAGTATGGGGATGATTAGGAGGCCATGATGATGGACAATGGGCAAATTTGGCCAGGATGCCGGGGTTAAACCCCTACTCTTTTTTCCCGAAGGACTTCACAGAGATGACCACAGAGAGTCAGGACCTCGGTTTAACGTCTCATCCGAAGGACAGTGCTTTTTTTTGACAGTATAGTAGTGTCCCCCATCATTATACTGGGGCGTTAGGACCCACACAGACCCCAGGGTGAGCGCCCCCTACTGGCCTCACTAACACCTCTTCCAGCAGCAACCTGGTTTTCCCAGGAGGGCTCCCATCCAGGTACTAACCAGGCTCAGCCCTGCTTAGCTTCAGCGGGCAACCAGTGTTGGGCTACAGGGTGATATGGCTGCTGGCTCAATGATGCATACATTACAATAGAAAATGTACTGTGTATAGTCAAATTAAATAATTCCATATATTAGTATTAGTAGTAGGAGTAGTAACAATAGTAGTATATTGATTGTATAATCTCTTTGTGCAATTTTTGTTGTTAGGATTTAGGCAAATAACAGTACACTTTATTATAATTCTTTGTATTATTCAATATAATTTTATTATACAATATAATTACAATATAATTTTTTTTTTTAAGAATAAGTGGACTGAGAACTATCATAACTAATGTAGATCAAAAAGACTGCACTTGCAAGTCTAAGGACAGCATGCATGCAGAAAGAGCCCTTGATGTGCAAGTCTTTCTATTGGCAGCAGAGCATGGGCAAAACATGACTTGATTGGACATTTTAGTGTTTCTTTGATTGTGATTTCATGCCTTTTTGTTCGATTAGCCTTAATATCTTAGCAGCAAAAATATCAAATGTTATACATTTATCATATTTATTCCAGCTTCAATCTGTACATATTCTTCGATTTCCACACCAAAACCAAATGGCACAAGCCTTCTGAGTCCAGTTCTGAACCTGAGGACTAATCCGCATGATGTGCTGGCTTACCATTTCTTCCTTTCTCTCTCCTTCCTTTCTCTCATGGAAAATTATTACCATAGTTTCAAGAATCAATAGTACTTGGGGTTTTTTCTTCCTTCAAATCTTTTCAAAAGGAACAAATCAGTAACTTAACACAATTGGCCAATCAACTGGATGAGTTCAGCTGTGAAGAGTCTAATGTAATAAGTGGGCTTTAAAGGGCTAATTGACCCTGATGAGCCTCTTGTACTGGCTCTTGTTGAATCATTGGCTGGTTAGACCTTTAGCACGGTGAAGAGGCTGCTTCA